CCGCCGGACGAGCGCCCTGCGCACGCGAGGGCACCGCCAAGCCTGTGGTGTGGGTGCCCGAGGCCTCAGGCGCCTCCCCTAGGTCGGCATCGGGGTTGTATTTGTTTCTCTCGGGTCTCCCTCTCCCCTGCATTTCCTCGCTTGGGGTCTCCCGAGGGTGACAGCTCGCAGGCCCTTGAGCTACTGTTTGTTACAAAACGTGCCCGGAGCGTTGGATTCCTGTTCCCAGGAACAGGTGGACCGGTACAGTGGAGCCGAAGCTGCTGGCTGCTGACGAGGGGTCTTCGCTGAGCTCCCGCCTCCGGGGACGGCGCGGCCGCCAGGAGCTGTCGGGACTTTGACCGCCTCTCCCGGATTTGCCAGTTCCGCGTCACGCAGCTGAGAGTAGGGAGCGGGAGAGACCCTCGGTGCCGCCGCCCTGCTCCTCCCTTCACAGCGTCCTTTTTACTGCTCAAAAATCAAAGGAAGATTGTGGCGATAAACCCAGGGCTCTTGATGCTTATCGAACTAAGTTGTGTATTTAAAAGGGAGGCAACTGTTTAAACTTGGGGCTTTGATTCTCTGAGTGACACCAGCTCGTTCGTACCTTATTTCAGATACTGGTTTGGAAAGAGCTCGACTATGGCTCCATGACAGAGGCGGAGAAGCAGATGCTCGTGTCCGAAGTCAATCTGCTCCGTGAGCTCAAACACCCGAACATTGTCCGTTACTATGATCGAATCATTGACCGCAGCAACACAACGCTGTACATTGTTATGGAATATTGTGAAGGCGGGGACCTGGCTAGTGTCATTACGAAGGGAACCAGGGACAGGTAAGGGCAGCCTTTTCTTTTCTTTTTGTTTGTTTTGAAACAGTCTCCCAGTGTAGTTCAGGCTGGTCTTACATTTACTATGTTGCCTGGGATGGCCTTGCAGAGATCCTCCTGCCTCAGCCTCCCGAGTGCTGGGGTTACAGGTATGCAGCCATCTTCCAAATGTAAGCTGAAAACGACTCTGGTTTTGTTCCTGTTAAGTGTCTTGAGTTAGGATTGGGGATGAGTTCTTAGTGACATGGAAGTGTGTACCTGTATTTGTTCCGTGGGTCAGTAGCATTCAGAAAAGGCACTGGTAAGTCAATACCCATATTTCATATCCAAATAATTTATTTCTCCATCTGAACACTTTGAAAACTAGGTAATTCACTTCATGCCATATCTTCGGTGATTTTAATCAGAAGTTTTATGCTGTGCGACCGCTTCTGGTTTCAGACAGTACTTAGATGAAGAGTTCGTTCTTCGGGTGATGACTCAGCTGACGCTGGCCCTGAAGGAGTGTCACAGGCGAAGCGACAGCGGCCACACGGTGCTGCATCGGGACCTGAAACCAGCCAACGTTTTCTTGGATGGCAAGCGAAACGTCAAGCTCGGAGACTTCGGGCTCGCCAGGACATTGAGCCACGACATGAGTTTTGCGAAAACATTTGTTGGCACACCATACTACATGTCTCCTGTAAGTGTCGGAATCCAGGTACCTGTCAGCATCGCACTGCTAAGCATTCAAACGAGAGGAAATTGAGTTTTTGCTGGTTCGTTGGTTAGTAAATCCAGTAGTCAAGTTTTTTGGTTTTGGTTTTTTTTTTGGTACCTGGGAACTCAGGACCTTGTGCTTGCTAAATCCCCGGCCCTAGAGTTTCATTTGAAGTCTGTACTTTTCCAAGAGGACCTCTGATTGTTAAGTTCCTCTGTCTCACAATTCAGCCCAAGCTTGTACTGGGTGACTACTGTGTGATACATAAACTCTGGAATTAGAAGCGCGAGAGGGGCCGTCTCTGCTTCACCTGCAGCAGCGTTTCCCAAGTGCGTCCTAGAAACACCAGCGTCACACTCGCTCGCAGTGTTGGTCTAACAGCGTGGTTTACCCCAAGTGCCACTTGGGCTGTGCATTTGTTACGGGCGTCGCTCGGGCGGGTGTCATTTCCACCAGTCCATTCTTGTATTAGTTAAATTTGACAAAATTGTCTTTTTTATGTTGCCTATTATTTATAAAAAATAACAAAATGTGCAATTTGTGGTCATCCTGTATTTAAATAATTGGACCAGTAAGTGGTTAAAATGCAGTCTGACTGGGTGTGGTGGGCACTCCTGTAATCCCAGCACTCTGGGAGGCCGAGGCAGGAGGAGTACAAATTTGAGCCCAGCATGGGCAATTTAGCAACTTAGTGTATTTATTTATTGCTCTTTTGAGACAGGATCTCACTGTGTAGCTCAGGCTGCCTTGGAGTTGGGAGATCCTCCTGCCTGTGTCTCCCTGGTGCTTGGATTGCAGGTGTGCATCATGACACCCGCCAGACATCAGAGCCCGTGAATTCTAAGCTCTTTGACGTTAGCTCTGCCATGAGTCCCTTCCTTTCTGCCTGTCCTAAACCGCACGCTCTGCTTATCCGCTGCCTCAGTGGCAGATGAGTTTCCAGAATGGCTCCCTGCTCTGAAGAAGCTGCTGTCCCGCCTTCCTGCTCTCTTACTTCCTTGCAGCGTCGATCATGGCGTGAACTTGCCGAGGTGCGGGTCTGGTGGTCCGCTGCTGGTAGGTGCTGTCTGGTGGCGTTAAAAAGCTGCGTCAGTGTGTGGCGTCTGGCCAGATAAAGAGACACGGGTTAGTTTGTGTTTTGTTTCTGTGATGGTCTTGCTAAGCTGCTCAGTCTGCGGACAGAGTCGGAACCCTCCCGCCTCAGCCCCCACGCCCCGAGAGCTGGGACTGCAGGCTTGTGCCACTGCCCAGTTTATTAGTGTTTTAGTAGTTTACAAACATTTCTAGGACTTTTCAGATCTTTATAAAACATGCCAACATATCGGCCTATAATATAAAACTTTGTAAATGTACGATTTATTTTTGACTAAGATTAGACATGGCCAGAACAGTGCCATTTTCTCCCGTATCAAATTCCAAGTAGAAAGCCTTTAACATAAAGGGGAATTATTTATAAGTGGTTCTCGGAAAATTTGAAACCCCCGCAATTCTTTGTTCCCTTTCCCTCCTGCCCTTGTAATTAGATGAGCTCCGTTTTCCTGAGACAGTGATTGCCAAGGAGTGGGGTCAGACGCACCTGCTGGGCTCCAAGCTTCTAAGAAGCCTCCCCGGGGGTTTGGTCCTCACCTGGCCCCCTGGAGAATAAGCTCCGGTAGACTGAGGTACTGCAGGTGTGGAGGAGAGAGGCAAATAGTTCACATAGGTAACAAGCATCTCAGCCACTGCCGAGGTTTCTACAGGGGACTAAACATAAATTGTAATCCAGTTAGCTGTTTCTGTTTATATCCTTTTAGATACGGGCCAGATGCATATTTGGATTATTCTGGAGTTTTCTTTTCTTCTTTTAAGATACTTGTTAGGAGCTGGACATGGTGTGGCACATGCCTGGAATCCCAGCACTTGGAAGGCTGAGGCAGGAGGATCTCTGCCAATTCAAGGCCAGCTTAAGCCACATAGTGAGACTCTCTCTCTCTCAAAATAAAAAGTTTTTATTTGAATTTGGTGGTGTGCTCCTGTAGTCCTAGCTACTCGAGAGGCTAAGGCAATAAATTGCTTGGGCCCAGGAGTTTGAGGTTGGTTGGGGCAACCTAGCCCAATAATATCTCCAGTAAAAATCAATCAGTGTTTCTAGATTATGAGTGTCCTGGGGTAGAGCTCTCTCAGAGTCACCTTTGAAATGTCAGTATCTAGCCCGCATTCAACATTTTCATTTTGAAAAATGAGCGGATGTTTATATATGATAGGTATCTTGAAACAGAATTGTTGCACTTTTCCTATTGTATATAAGTGTGTGCGTGTGTGCACGCTTGTGTGCGTATTTTTTTTTTTCAGTGCTAGGCATTGATCCAAGGCCCCTCACTCGTGCTAGGCAAGTGTTCTGCCACTGAGTCACACCCCCGCCCTTCCATTATAAGCTTGAAGATAAACTACAAACTCTCATCTTTTGTCATTGTGGTATAAGCAGAATTAGCCTTTTGTGTTTGAAATTTTTGTTATGGATAAAATATCTAGATTTGTTATAGATTTCTTCCTTCTTTTTCTTTTTGGTACCAGGGATTGAACTCAGACCCTTGTGCTTGTGAGGCAGGCGCCAGAACCACTGAGCTAAATCCCCAGCCCAGAAGATTCCAGACCTTCTTTTTCTTGAGGAAACATTACTAAACTTTGAGATTCCATTTTTATCTTAGGTGTAATTTTTTTTTTTTTAATTTTTGTACCTGACATTGAATCTAGGATCTTGTGCTTGCCAGGCAGGTGAGGTACCACTGAGCTACATCCTGGCCCTAAAAAGCTTTGTAAGTTTTAAAATAAACTCAGCTCGTGCTTTCTCACCTTTCTCCCTTCTAGGAACAAATGAATCGCATGTCTTACAATGAGAAGTCCGACATCTGGTCCCTGGGTTGTTTGCTGTATGAACTGTGTGCGCTAATGTAAGTACGCTTGTGACCGGCAGCAGGAGTCCTTTTGCTCGTCCCTGACCAAACCAAAGGAGGCCATTTATTATTTTTGGTGAAAAGGAAAACGGAGCTGGACATGGTGGCTCACACCTGTAATCCCAGCACTCAGGAAGCTGAGGCAGGAGGATCGCCACAAGTTTGAGGCCACACTGAGATACACAGTGAGTTCAAGGCCAGCCTGAGATATGGTAGTGAGACCCTGCCTGTCTCAAAGCAGGAAACAATGAAAATGAAAAAGATGTTATTCAAAACTAACACTGAGGAGATGGAGGTCTCATTTGCCTCAAATCACATCTCACCTGTGCAGGTGTGCAAGGGACACCGAGGCGGGAACCCAGTGAGACCCTACACAACTCGAGGCTGCTTTCTCTGGCCTGGACGTCGGGCTGGGGAGCAGCGCCTGGTAGTCTGTGCATTCAGAGTCTGAATGAATTCTAAAACTTAAAATCGAGGTAGATGGACAGGCCGAAGAAACAAAATATTCACACGGGGGACACAGAGCCCGCGGCCGGCGCAGCGTCTGCACTGCCCCTGTAGAGTCGGGGTCACGGGGCCGCAGCGGGAGCTGAGATGAGGGAGGAGCCCGGGACGGTCGTTCTCCGCTCCCACCTCTTTGCCCGCTAGGGTGGTAAGGTGGCTTCCCCAGGGTGTGGAGGAAGCGGTGTCTGGAGATGCTGCTGTCCGCTGTCACAACCACAGACCGCTGGCCCTCCGTGCCCCGAGCTCAGCTCAGCCCTCGATGGCAGCAGGGCCAGGAAACGGGCATTGGCTGCGGAGGAGCACCCCAGAGGGGAGCCAGCCAGAATCGGGCTTAGGTTCATCTCCTGTATGCTTTCCTTTTAAAAATCCTTCTCTTTCTTTCACCACAGGCCTCCGTTTACAGCTTTCAACCAGAAAGAACTGGCTGGGAAGATCAGGGAGGGTAAATTCCGGCGGATTCCTTACCGCTTCTCGGACGAGCTAAATGACCTCATTACGAGGATGTTGGATTTAAAGGTACGGGGCAGGAGCTTCTCTGTCTTCCTGTGGGTCCTCAGTTATGTGTAGGAGCACGTGCCGTATTCCCTGGTGGAGCAGGAGAGGCTGAGGAAGCACGAAGTCCACTTCCTTAGCTAAGTTTTCTGTGAACAGTGAAGGCTGCTCGTTTTTGCCAGCCTCGCCTTCCGTGCCTTGTTTGTGTCCTGCTCCTCCTGCAGTCCTCGCAGATGGCTGCGGCCAGGGACCCAAATCCTCCTTCCCTTTGTCCTCAGCCACCTCAGGTGGCAGGTGGCGAGGGAGTGGCCGAAACCCTACCTTTAGCTCGGATTGAGCAATTGGAGACCAGAGAGGAGTAGAAAGAGGGAAAATCAGTGGCATACATTTGTAAGCCCAGCACTCTAGGAGGCTGAGGCAGGAGGATCACGAGTTTGAAACCAGCCTGGGAAACTGTCTCAAAATAAAAATGAAGAAGGGGCTGAGGTGATGACCCAGATGCTCACGGCTACTCTGGAGGCGTCCCCACCTGGGCCTCGGAAGTCCTTTCCCTGTAGAGTGGCTCTGTCTTTGGATGCATGTTGTGTTTTGTGGCCCGTTTCCCAGGATTACCACCGGCCCTCCGTGGAGGAAATTCTTGAGAACCCTTTGATAGCTGACATGGTCGCAGAAGAGCAGCAGGGACAGCTGGAACGGAGAGAGCACAGAGCAGCCGGCACTGGGGAGCCTGAGAAGCCAGGGGACTCCAGCCCGGCGCTGAGCGAGCTGCGGAGGAAGGAGCTGCAGCTGCAGGAGCGAGCGCGGGCCCTCCGGGAGCGGGAGGACATGCTGGAGCGTGAGTCCGGGGTGCAGAGCCCTGCGGTCCTCCCTGGAGCCTTCATTCTTGGTTTTCTGACACAGGGTCTCACTATGGAGTTCAGGCTGGCATGGAACTTGAAGCAGTCCTCCTGCCTCAGCCTCCCCAGTGCTGGGATATTGGGTGTGGACCACTGGGCCTGGCCTAGAACCTTTTCATAACACTTGCCAAGCCGAAATATTATAGATGAGCTTGCTGGCAACTCCACATTGGAATTCTTTCTCTGGAATCAGCAGTCAGCCAGGGTGTATTATTGGCCCCAACACAGTAGGCAGTACCCTTTTTTTTTTTTGTACCGGGGATCTAATTCAGGTCCTTGCACTTAAGAGGCAGGCGGTGGAACCACTGAGCGAAATCCCCGGCCAGACATTACTCTTTATGTACAGCAACTTGTTCCTTTCCCATCCTGCACACGACGTGTTCTGGTGCACAGGAAGGGATTAAAATGTGCTGCCTTCCAGCATAAAACCCATGACTTTACCTCCTGAAAGGCTGAGGCCTGGTGCCAGGTCTAAGATGCTGAAATTAGAAAGCTGTGTAAACCGGCTGAACCATATGAAAGGGCATCGAGGCTGCACACACAGGACGTACAGACTGTGGTGCGACCACACAGCGGGCTAACAGGTCTTAGGTCGCTAAGCGAGGATTGTCCGTAATTGATTCCATGCCGACCAGTGTTGGGTGTTGAAAAGCCTGTCTGCACCGCCGGCGTGAGCTGCTGGCGAGGGCGGGGATTGTGCAGGGTAGAAACAGGAGCAAGCTCTTCATCGGGGTGATACTCAGAGACTACAGGGGCTCTGTGTCCCCCACCACCCTTATGACTCCTCTGATTTCGCTTCTGTGGCCTTATGCCCAATGTGGACTTCCACTGTTTTTCTACAAAGCAAAAACCATAGTAAGTAAACTTTGTCTATTTAAATGTGTTAGTAAAGTACCCAGTGTATTCACTGATTTTTTTGCTTCGTGATAAACATTGTGGCTGGGTGTGGTACCACACACCTGTGATCCCAGCACTCAGGAGGCTGAGGCAGGAGGGTCACCATAAGGACGAGGCTAGTCTGCACTACCACTCGAGACCCTGTCTCAAAAAACCAAAGATAGATAAGTCAATAAAACCCAGCAGAGCCAGGTGAGCAGGTGACCAGATGACCACGAGGGGCCCCTTCATGGGACACGTGGGCCAAGGGACAGGAAAAGTGATGGGTAACGCGTCACCACCCACTGACTGTTTTCTTTCCCACTCATCTTTAGAGAAGGAGCGTGAGCTGTGTGTGCGGGAGAGGCTGGCAGAGGACAAGCTGGCCCGCGCCGAGGGGCTGCTCAAGAGCTGCGGGCTGCTGAGGGAGCGGAGGCTTCTGTCTCTGGCCAGCGCTCCAGGTAGGGACGGGGTCCATGAGCTCCAAGAGGGCTGTGCTGCAGGTCTGAGAAAGCGCACGTCGGTGTTGCACTTTTTCTTGGAGCCGGGGTCTCTGTAGTTCAGGCTGACCTTGAGCTCGCTGTGTAGTTCCAGCTGGCCTCGGACTCCCCGCGATCCTCCTGCCTCAGCCTCTGGAGTGCTGGGATCACAGGCGTGTCCCTCCCCTCCTGAAGTCTCACGGTGCTCACTTCACCCTTGTTAGATCCCGCACTACCACTCACAAAGACAACACAGGTTTAAACCCTGATCAGGACGATGAAGAAAGCAGGGAGAAGCTTCTTCATGTGAGCTTTGTGCACCCAGCCCTAGCGACTCTTCGAAGATCCTGGGCGTGGGCTCTTCCTGACCGAGTTCAGTTCCCCTCCCACCCTTGGGCTCTGGGTGGATGGATGGATTGGCTGCGGCTTCTCCGAGTCAGCCACACGCGAAGGCACAGGGACCCCGCTGTGACCTTGCAGGAAGCCAGTCGCCCTGGGCTCTGTTATGTGAGAGGACTGAGCCCTGACGTACTGAGCACCTCAGCCACCCAGCAGGACAGGAACAGACTGCACAGCGCCACCTCGGATGGATGCCCTGGGTCTCCTGAGGTCCCTTCAAGATCATTCTGTGTCTGCCTAGGGAGAACCTTGTCCCCCGCCCCGGGTGGGATGCTGCTTGGGTGCTGCTGCAGCACTGGCGGTGGACAGTGCTCGATTCTTGGGGACATAGGGGTGTGTGCTGGAGAAAATGGACCTGAGCCGTCCACATTTCTTACCCACGTCACCTCCTACACGGTATCGAACAGGCTCTGCTTAAAGCAGACCTCTAGCGTCAGGAGCAAGTAGGTGCTCACAGGAGAGGATGTGCCCTCTGGAGGGAAATGCCCTACATTACTGGTTTTCCAGTAATTACAGGCACACTGTAATCCCAGCACTCTGGGAGGCTGAGACAGGAGGATCACCAAATTTGAACCTGGACAACCTGGGGACTTATCAAGGCCCTGTCTCAAAGTAAAAGACAGAAAATGGGCTTTGGATGTAGCACACTGTGAAGGCCCTGGGTTCAACCCCTAGTACTGCAAGGAAAAAAAAAATACAGATAATAGCACTGATTTCCAGAAGTCTGGTAATGTGTCCAGTGCATTTCACTTTAAGAGCAAAGTTGGCTGTTAAGAGAATAAAACATGTTTCCAGATGTTTGGAGCATTCTAGAGTTATGTTTTCAGTGGCACAGACTAAAAGGCTTATTGATTTCTGCCAACCCCACATCCTAACCCCACCCGAGGCACCTAGATTCCACATGGGGTCTGAAAGAGTGATTATTTGTGCTAAGTATGAGATGGAAAGACAAGGAAAAAAAAAAGAAGGGAACAAAATAGAAACAGCTTTTGTGAAGAAGGGAGGGGAAGAGAGGTTGAAGGGAGGAGAATGGAAAAAAAAAGCAAGATACATCATGTACAGGCACAAGTTCCCTGTGATGATGTGACCATTATGTATATCCAAAATGTACCAATAAAAAAAAAAGATACAGGAGTGGAACTTCTATCCATGTAACTCAAAACCCTTTCTCTTTTTCTTCCTGAAGAACTTCTCGATCTGCCATCCTCAACAATTAAGAAGAAGGTTCACTTCAACAGGGAGAGCAAAGAGAACACAGTGAGGGATGAGAGCTCGGAGAGCCAGCTCACCTCCAAGTCCAAGTGCAAGGACCTGAAGAAGAGGCTTCATGCTGCACAACTGCAGGCGCAGGCTCTGTTGGACCTAGAGAAGAACTACCAGCTCAAGAGCAGGCAGATCTTGGGCATGCGCTAGCCTGGGAGCCGCGGTGGGGCCTGGGAGCCGCGGGGGCTCCTGGGAGCCGTGGGTCAGGCACAGGATTTAGTGCTGCTGTCCTTTAGAGATGGGTGTTAACTGCTGTGGCTTTCTATCCCTAGTTCCTGTGCCTCACCTTTCTGTATAGTGAGCTTGATATTTTGGAATTGCTTTTGCTATTCTCAGCAACTGTTGTACCAGATGTTCACATTTGAATTTTTCTTTCTTCTTTTAAGACCATTTTAAGGAAGGAATGATTCTTTCTGGGTTGTTTGGGCTGTTAATCCTGTGTGTGTTTACTACTAGGAATATGAGATCGGACATTCTACATATGGAGGGAGAAATGTTAGGGAAAAAAATATTCGTGCAGGAGCAGCTCTTCTTGGGAAGTTTTAAATGACCGATTTGTGTGTTTGCAACTGTCATGTCTAGCTTTAGAGTCAGATGTGAGGTTTTAAATGTTCTTGAACTTCTTGGGGAACCAGATTGGATATAAATTGGTCACCCCAAGACATCTTGTTTGTAAATACACCCTGCAGTGCAGATCTGTGACGGTGGTGGGGATTCATCTCTGTGTTGTATTCTTCCATTCCTCGTTACTCTGTTTAACAGTGTCTACACTGGCTATCCCCCCCCCCC